GTACCACCTGCACCAGGAGGAGATCACGCGCATCAAGAGGGAGTGCGAGCGCGAGATCCGCAGGCTGGTACGTGCTGCTCTCTGCTCCTCTCCTCATGCTCCTGGGGTGGCATGGGCAGAGCTGGCCTCTCTGGGCGGCTGTGGGGGTTTTGGGGTGCGCCCAGGTCCGTTTGCATTTACTAGTAAAGGACAAAGTGGTTTTAAAAGTGATAGGATGTTTTGTGAGAAACTTCTTTATCCGTGTGAGAGCCCATGGATGGTAGCAGGAAGAGCCCTCAGGCTCCTGGCTGGGCAGGGAAAGGCTTCAACACTAGTGTGTCTTGGGTTATGCCTCCATTTCCTCACCAAGCCGTCCCTCCTGATCCACCTTGGTCCCTCCTGTTACACCTTGGTCCCTCCCTTCCCCTGCCTTTGCTGGTTCCCATGAACATCCCATAGCGAGGCTCACACAACCCCAAATGCTCCTTTTCTGCACCCCTGGGTGCTGCCCAGGCAGCAGGGCGTGTAGGGGGAGTTCTCTCCATGCCCACCATGGGAGGAGTTCTCTCCATGCCCACCATGGTGGTTTTCCCCAGGACAGGGCTGGCTCTGTTCCTGTGTGGCTCCCACCTGAGCAGGGGGCTGGATCTCACCTGGCCTTGCTCACCTGGCCTTGGGGACCCTCTGTGTGTGGCTGCTCAGCCTGCCCTCACTAATGCAGCACCTCACCCTCAGCTGCAGCAGCTCCACTCTCAAGGGCAGCAGCGTCACCCCTGTGGCTTTGGGGATTCCCTCTGTGGCACCTGGCTGGGGAGGATGGAGGGGTGGTGGTGCTTGGGAAAGGGGGAAATCCCTGTGGGAAGGAGGGAGGGGGGTGTGTGACCCACACCTGAGCCCTGAGGGTGCTCCTTGCCCCAGGGGACACAGCCATGCCCTCAGGGTGTGTGTTTGGGTCTTGTCTCAGTCTCTGTGTGGTGTCACCATCGTTCTGTGTCTGCCATGCTGCTTCACAGCCTCAGTGTCCTGGCACAGACCCATCCAGGCCTCTTTTAAGTCATCAGCTGTTACCCAAACCCCAAATAAATTTGAAATGCCCAGCCTGGCCCCAGATGAAGGGCTGGCAGTGCTGCAGAGACCCCCACAGGACCCCTGCCCTGGGGATGCTGCACAGCATCACCTGAGCCCCACAGGGCCTGGCAGGGACTGGCATGCCAGCCCTGCAATGTCCCCTGCCTTTATTGAGCCTCCTCTTCTCTCAGACTTTAGGCTGTTAAGGCTTTTCCATAGAATATTTTATTTTTATGAAGAGGATATTGAAAATAATTTACAACCAACTGCTCTATTGATGCTGTTCAAATATCCTGCAGTGTAAGTACCTTCTCCTCTAGTCATGAATCACTGGTGCATTGATTTCACACAGCACAGTGAATGGGGGCTAATGCACATCCTAAATAAACTTGCTGCATCACGTGGGAAGGCCCCACTAATGGCCTTTAATGTAGAAGCTGTTAAATAAATGTGGTCTTAGTTACAGGGAACAGAGTGGTTAAACGGGATGTTATCTAAATTGCCTTTAAAAATCAAACTTTATAAAGTTCCTGCTTGAAGGAATCAGATTGTCTCACTGCACCAATGAAATTGTTCCCATGGAGCAGGGCTGACAGCTCCCAGCGCTGCAGGCAGCCCAGGAAGGCAGCTGGGTGGTTTTGGGGGTTTCTGGGTGGTTTTGGTGGTTTTTGGGTGTGCTCAGGCTGCTCTGGCCCTGTGGCTGCTGCTGTCTGTGCCTGGCTCAGCTGGCCCTGGCTCTCAGCCTCAGGGAGATGAAATCCCCCTGCAATGGTAATGAGTACATGTGGCAACAGGCTCCTTTGGGGAGAATGTCTCATTTTAGCCAACCATCCTTAAATTTCAATTTGTGCATTCTAGACTGCCTTAAAATACTGCTTGGCTGTGTTTAATGGCATTTGTATGGGCAGAAGCACTCCCATACAAATGGAGTGTGCACAGCCAGGGCAGCAGCTCTCAGCCTGCAGTGCTCCCCAAGCCTTGGTGCTTGCCAAGTGGGAACCAAAATTCTGTGTGGGAAAGAGCATTTAAACTTTAATTCACTCTAGGTTGGTCAGGAGGGAGAAGTTCTGCACAGCCATGGCCTCCGCAGCCTCCTCACTGCCATCTCCTTTATCAGGGGACTGGGAAATCAGAAAAACGAAGGAACTGGGATTTGCTGGAGCCTGGGGAATGGTTGTTTTCAATCTAGATGAACTTAAATTGATTTGAAGTAGCAAAAGCTTTAATACCCTGTTCCAATCCCCCTGTGAGACCCCTGGACATGGAGAGATTCACTGCCAGGATCCCCTCATGGCAGTGCCACCCCACAGCCAGAGAGGGGATTGAGGTTCTGAGCACCACTCTGAGCTCTGTGCTCCCAGAGACCTGAGCTCTGCCAGACTGTGCTGAATTAGTGAACATGTCTGGTGTAAAGGGTAGGAATCTGATCTTTAAATATTGATTTTATTGGTGATTGAATTAGTCTTTACCCTCTGCTTTTGATTCCCTCCTTTGTTGAGATCCCCCATATCTGGGGTTATAAAGGTGGCTCAACACCTGTAAGGTAGACACATGTTCAAGGTGAATTGTCCCTTCTTCCACCTGCGGAATTTTTTAGTCATTTGTGGTTTGACCCTCATTCAGCACATTTTTTTCCCCAACTAAACCTGGGCTGAAGGATTTTGTTGTATATGAAAGCCAGACAACATTACTCCTATGCTTAGGAGGGTCAGGAAACCTCCTCATTCTAACCCAGGTGCTTCAAAGGCCATTTTGGACAGCATCAGTCAGCTTGCAGGGGCCCCAGGAAGATGGCAGGGGCAGGTGCCCCAGCCAGGACCCTCGGAACAGGACGGCAATGATAACTTCAATAACAGGGTCACGGCTCAAAGGCTGGAGCTGCAGGAGCAGCACAGCTCCCTGAGCACGGTGCTGCTGCTCTGTAATTGGCACCAGCTGTGCCGGGGCTGCCTGCAGCAGCAGACACATAAATATTCATCAGTATTCCTGCAGCTCCGAGCGCAGCAGGTGCCTGGGTGGGTGTGGAGGTGGATGGNACACACACACCTTGCTGCAGCATCGCACCTGGGCTCTGCCATCCTTCACCACATCCCCACTGCTCTGCACAGGGAAGGCTCCACCATCACCTCCTCGGGGCTGGACATTTGTGACATTTGTGACAAGGTTTAGTGGGCACAGTGCTCATTCCTGGGCAGCCCTGTGCAGGGCCAGCAGTTGGAGTTCAATGATCCGAGCAGCTGCTCGGCATGGTGTGTCAATTCACACCATTAAACCTTCATAACGTTTTAAAGAAAATTAAAAAGCTGCAACACTGTATGTATGAGGATGTGTGCTCTACAAATTGACCTCAGACACAATTCCCACCCAGCAAACTCTGCTCCCGGGTACCAGCTCCTGCGTTTTCTCTTCTGTGAGCACACAGATGTAAATTCTCACAGCTCTGTGTGTCAAAGGAATCCTCTTAGCAATTACTCTCTCAAATCCCTGTCCCATTCAAATGATGATTTGTCTGCCATTCATGTGGAAGCAGTTTAGGCTTGTTGATTGCTAACCTGGCTCACTCTGGCTCTGTCTTTGGAGGGAATCCTCTAAGAAAATAATGATAACATGCACAAAGGGTTCATTTGCTGCAGCAGGTACAGCTCTGTGCCTGTGGCTACAGGCTGCCCCATTTTTTAGCAGTAAAGAAAAGGGGTTTTAAATCTCCATTGGTGTGTTGTGTCTGCTTGCACAAAGCAGCACGAATCTTAAATGCAAAGAATGTGTACTCATGTTACAGATTTCTCAGGCAATATCTTTAAAATTTAATTAATTTCTATTTCTTTGCCCAATCAAGCATGTTTCTTTTTATAGAAACTTCCAGGCTACAAAGTCAGGCACCAGGGTGAGAAACAGCAGAACTGAGATTGTTTGTGCTACCTTGGTTTGGACAATTAATGCCAGGAGTAGTATTTTATTTCCCACTTGTGTCTCTAGGTCTCATCCTCCATCCTCCCCTCTGACCCAATGTCCTGTGTGATTTCTCTGGCTCTCAGCAGCTCTGCCCTCTCCCAGCCTTGTATCCCATTTTTGTACCCCCAGAGCAGCATTTTTGTACCCCCAGAGCAGCTGCCTCCCTCTGCTCTTTTCTCCCTGGCAGATTCAGGATTTTGCTCCTAGAATTCAAACCAGGCTTTTTTTATTATGCTGTTGTGGAGGTTGGTTCTGTTGCTGCTTTGCTGCTGTAATTGATGGTTCCTCTCTCCTTGCAGGTGCCCTGCCCTGCTGAGCCTGCACAGGGACAGGGACAGTGCCTCTGCTGTGGCTGGACCATGAGGGACAGAGCGAGGCATTGAGGGTCACCAGCCAGGAGCACTGCCACCCACCTTAACAGGATTGCTTTGAAAAGGTTGGAGATGTTTTCCCAAATACGAGCGCGTTTTGTGGTATGACCATCCCGTGGTTCCATGATTCTGTGAAAATAGAAGTAAAATCCTCCCAGTGGTGTCTGCCTCTGAGCTGTGGCAGGGCTGGGGACTGGTGGGTGNGAGGCAGAGGGAACCTGCAGATCCTGAGGGAAGGAGCTGAGCCTGGAAGTGCAGAGTTCAGAGGGGCCCTGCGGTGTGTTGGGTGTGTGTCCCCTCCAGAGGCACCCACAGCCACCAGGGACAGGGACAGGGCTGCAGGGCCGTGGTCACCCAGGGAGCAGCTCCACAGGGACACCCAAACTCTCAGCATAAAACTTATCACCAGCTTTATTTTAGCTTGATTTCCATGGACAGAAAGAGCAATTTCTAGTTGCCTGTGGCAAAGGTGAAAGAGGTTGGAGTACATAACCCAGCCTGGTGATGGTGTGGGACAGTGGCCAGCAAGGACATCCTGTCTGTTGTTTCCCCAGTGGCCCCTTGTACTGCCATGGGTAATTTCAGTAACTGCTCTCTGCAAACAGCTAACAGTGTCTCTGCCTCCTGCAGGAACGTGATAAGCTGCTACGGTTCAGGAAGCAAAGGAAAAAAATGACAAGAATTCCTAAGGTAAAAAACAAACCCTTCCATGGTGGCATGCTGATGGACAGGGTGCTCAGAGCACCCCAGGGCCATGGCAGTGTTCTCCTCAAGGGTCTGCAAATGGGTCCTGAACCTCAGTTTGGGTGATGTAGCTCAAGGATATGGACAGACTGCATTGGGATATTCAAGGGGACCTGTTTGCATCGAGCATTCTGAGCCTTTTCATGCTCTGCATTCACTGTGTGGGACTCTGGTGGGATGTGGTTGTCTTAAGAACAGACAAATTTTATGAATTAACACATCTCCAAATGATCTTCTAATGGTGCAGCCTGAAAACATGTGTACGCAGTAAATAATTCATGATGGAGTTTAGTAACGTGGAAATTGCTGGTTGGGGAAGCAATGGTTAGAGCTCAGGGAAAAGGGATGTTGGTTAATGAGGGCTTGGCAGGGTGTTAATGTAAATATTAACACTAAAATGTCAGAGGAAGGTTTAATGTCAGGGCTGCTAGTGTGCTGTGATCCACAGATGAACAATTAGAGTGAGGCTGGAGCTAATGAACCTATGAATAACTAATTGAGGTCGATGGGAGATAACTCCTGTCATCCTGAACAGCACATCCAGGCCTTCCAGGGAGGCACATTCTGTCTGAAACCTGGGTGGGGCTGGAGGGACAGCACAAGGGAATGGCTCCCAGTGCCAGGGGCTGGGATGGATGGGAGATTATTGGGAATTGGGAATTGTTCCCTGGCAGGGTGGGCAGGCCCTGGCACAGGTGCCCAGAGCAGCTGTGGCTGCCCCTGGATCCCTGGCAGTCTGTCCAGTGCCAGGGCAGTCTGTCTGGGTGCCAGGGCACTCCCTGACCCTGCTCTCTGTCAGAAGCCAGTGGTGGAGACGTTCTATGGCTATGATGAGGAGGCTTCCCTGGAGTCTGATGGTTCCTCCATCTCCTACCAAACGGACCGGACTGACCAGACCCCCTGCACGCCCGAGGACGACCTGGAAGAGGTACTCCTCAAAAACCCCTCTTGCCTTGTTTGGTGCTGGTGCTTAATGAAATCCCTGCTCTGTTCCATCACTTCTGTCTATCATTGCTGCTCTCTCATAGCTGTTCTATCTCTCTGTCACCTCAGACCACAAAATGAAACACTTCTGTTAAATTTGGTGCTGTGCACGGTGGCCAGTATCTCTAAATCTCAGGTCTTCAGTAGCTTCATAACTTCCAAGCTGGAAATCTCATATCCTAAGAATATTGAATTTATGGCAGGTTTGCAGGTCTAAATAAAAGAGAAATTGGACAGGCTGTGGGAGGTGTGTTCGCTCTGAGCCTGGCTGCAGATTTTGGCAGGTGCAGTTTGGGCCAGCTGATCTCAGCACCAAGCAGTAAGGTCTGTGTTGGTAGAGGGAGAGGGAGTGAATGCTCCCCTGAAGCTCTGGGCTCCAGGGAAAGGCTGGTTCCTGGCTGGTTCCTGGCTGGGTTCCGGAGGCTCTGAGAGCACAGCACACAAATGGAACACAATTTAAAAATTAATTTTAAAATTAAAGGGATTATTCCTTGGATTTGCCAGGCCTTCCCCACAACTGCACTCCCCAGCATGTGTCAGATCACTGGCCCGTTACACAGCTCTGGGCTCAACAAGACTCTTGCAATAAACAAGAATTGCCCCTGATGGTGTGCAGCCTTTTCACAGTGTGCTGGCTGCAGGTGTGTAATTCAGCCTGCAGAATTCCTCACTCCATCATGAACGATACCTGACGGTTACCAGGCTGCCCTGCAGGAAATCTGAATGTATTTGTGTATGCATGAGCCTGTTTATTTTCCATTCCTGTATTGACATCTTCCCCCCGTTCAGCCAGTGGGAGATTGATGCATGCACCCAGCAATGTAATTCCATTTCATGTTGAGTGAAATATTCCGGTCAGACATGAAAGAACTCCATACTGGATATTGTAAGCAGGGTGAAGAAGATGAAGGGCTCCTTTCATGTTGGCTGTCACCACTTCTACAACTATTAACTCTGGATTCATGTTTTAATAATTGAGTGAGTCTGTCAGGCTTGGTTTCCTTTCCAAATTGAAACCTTTTGTTGTTAAAGAAAGCTGCATTTTCACCTTTAATGTGATGATTTTCCCTGTTCCAGTAGGAAAGGGTGGTGCAGTCATTAGTGTGCTATATGGAGGGCAAGCTTTTATCTTTCCAAGGCAGGGACTATCTTTTTATTTCTGTATTGCACTTCCTGGAGGTAAGAGCATGCAAGGGATGTGCAGGGGACAGAGGGGAAACAGCTTGAGGGCACTTGAGGCAGAGTGGAAATCTTCCAGGGCAGAAATCCATTTTGATTTAGGTGAAATGTACATTTTTGAGTTGAGTCTGTGGTTAGCAAACATGGCTATGTAGCCTGACTGCAAGGCCTAGGCTCAGAGAAACTGCTCCAGTGAAGGACTGAGATAAAGGGTGATAGAGAGAGACAGAGACTGCTGTGAGAGCAGCTCAGCCTGACCTAGGAATTCTGGTAAATAAGAACTAGTGGCAAATGTCACAGAAAATCGGTAAAAAATGAATATGTATGAACCTATTGTGGAATTGTATGCACATGTATCTGAGAGGGGGATAAAAAGGGACCTGAAGTTCCCAGAGGTATGCATGTCTTTTAAGGAGAGTAATCTCTGCATGTGTCCAGCGCTGTAATAAACATCCTGGCTTTACAACTTTCACAAAGTGGTGGAGTTTTGATTATCTCCACAAAACACACTTAACCAAGGTTTTGTGTGCCGTGGTTCCAAACTGCATTTCACAAGGGATAACTGGCAGTTCTAAGGGGCAGCAGAGCTAACCCCTCCTTCTGTGTGCCGGCAGGGCATGGCCAAGGAGGAGACGGAGCTGCGGTTCCGGCAGCTGACCATGGAGTACCAGGCGCTGCAGCGCGCCTACGCCCTGCTGCAGGAGCAGGTCGGGGGCACCCTGGATGCCGAGCGGGAAGTCAAGGTCTGCAGGGCCTGCGTGCCGTGGGAACGGGGCTGTGGAGCGGGCAGGGCGGGTGGGGACTCACCTGGCCGGGCTCAGGCTGCTCTCCAGCTCACCTGAGGGCTCCGCTACTTGGTTAAACCAGTAGTTAAGTTGTGTTGACTGACGTTGGCTGATTAGTCTGGTTCCCAGAGTGAAAAACACAAGCAGTGAAAAGGTAATGACATAAATGAAATTATTGGAATGAAATGAAATTATTCTTGTAGTTAGATAAAATACATTGTTACTGTAGACAAGTAAATTTACTAACTCTTTATCTACTGTAATTTGGAATAGTGTCCCCTCCATTCTTATTGATAGCAAAACAAGACTATTTTAGATACTACCAACTTCCCTCAAGTAGTTTTAGTGCTGCCAGCCCCCTGGAAGGGCTGCTGAGCATCCACCACTGCTGCAGCTCGGGCTTCTCACCTCTGCTCTGCTCAAGGGAAAGCCAGGGAGAGCTTTTTATGGGAAATCCTTGAAAGTAAGCTCTTTTTCTATAAAGAACTAGGACAGATATCCTTAGATATATAATGCGTGGTCTTTAATTCCTTCTGGGCTCTGAGAGATTACATGATTCCTCATGAAATGTTTAGAAGGCTTATAGCTAAGATTTTTCTGTTAATTAAATTGCAAAGTGCCCTGTGCCATTCTGCCTGTGTGCCTCACAGGGTTCCTGTGGCTCTGGACAGCTGGCCTGAGGTGCTGCTGTTGTTGGGAGCTTGTTGTGTGTGCCAAGGAGTTACAGAGGAATTGTTCCCTGGCAGGGATGGGATATTGGGAATTGGGAATTGTTCCCTGGCAGGGTGGGCAGCCCTGGCACAGGTGCCCAGAGCAGCTGGGGCTGCCCCTGGATCCCTGGCAGTGCCCAAGGCCAGGCTGGACATTGGGGCTGGGAGCACCCTGGGACAGTGGGAGGGGTCCCTGCCATGGCATGGTGGCACTGGGGGGATTTGGGGACCCTCCCAACCCAAACCATTCCCTGACTCCCTGAAGGGCTGGCAGGATGGGTCATGCAGTGAGGAAAGGGGCAAACTTGCTGTTTAACAGGAGAAATGTGCCTGCAGAACCCTAATTTGTTCCTACACCTGTTCTGTGGAGGTGTTATCCAGGAGCACTGGGAGTGGGTCAAGGTGTAATGCATGAAAACTGACATTCCCAGAATGAACATCTGCTCTGAAACACCAGGGATTGCCCCTGGAAGGACAATCCCAGTGAGCCAAGGCATGCCCAGCTGTGAGAGGGACTGGGTTTTTGTCTTTTCACAATGGGTCAAAGGAGGCACCAGTGCAGGTCATGCAAACAAAGTCACTTTCAGTGTAAATAACTGGATAAATAGCAGAGAAATGGCTCAAGGAAATAAATGTTCTGTGAAAGTATGTAACAAATACAACAACTAGCAATAATTACTTTTGTTTTTCAGAAAAAGTGTATAATAATGTGGTGTCTACTTAAATAAGCAGGAAGCTACAAATACAGTAAAAAATGAGAGATGGGTATGAAATAGATATGGCACTAAATCATAGATGAGGCACCAAAGGCACAAAGGTCAATGAAATTTGCCAGTTTGTAATGAGGGCTCTGCTCTGAGTGTTTAACATGCCCCAGATTTAAGAGAGCCAGGTGTGCCCAGAATTGTGCAATAATAATTCTCATTTGTTTTCCTGGAGAAAGGGAGGCTCTGGCTGCAGCCTGCCATGAGCAGCTGTGAGGGCCAGTTCTGCTTTGCCATTTTGTTAATCTTGAGTCAAATCTCAAAATCAGTAATCCTATCTCCCAGACTTGATTTGATTACATTTGATTATTTGATACTGTGTGCTCAGCTGCAAATTTCTTCTACCAGGGAACTTTCAAAATAATTTGTTAAAAGCCTTTGGTGTTTTAAATATTTCCTGTTACTGCATTAGGTTTGGTCTTCTGGAGAAAGTTTTTGATTTTTAAAAATTTCTTTTTAAATTATTCTTTATCAATTTTTTTTTTTTTTTGTTTCTCTCTCATACGCCACAGACGCGTGAGCAGCTCCAAGCAGAAATTCACCGGTCCCAGGCTCAGATAGAGGACCTGGAGAAGGCTCTGGCTGAGCAGGGACAGGTAATGCTGGCTCCAGCCCTTCCCCACCTCTCTGCTGGGGGACCAAAAGGGTTCCCAGGCTGGTTACAGATTGTGCACCACTTCTGCTGACAAAAAACCAACAACCAAATACAGAAAAAAAACCAAAAAACCCAAAACAACAACAGCAGTAAACAGAAAATGGTTTTGAGAACAATTAAATATTAAATAATTCCATCATTGCCTTCCCAGCTTAACCTCTCTTGTTGTTCTTACTGATAAATGATGTTCTGGGTTTGTGGGCTTTATATATTCCTCAGACTAAGAGATTACCTTTCAGATAAAGTTTGGTTTGCCTGATCTGCAGAAATATGTGATTTGTATTTAGCAAAATAGAAATGTGATAGCAAACACATAGTTAGAAATATCCCTTTTATTGCAAACCAGATTTTACCTGAAAGAGTTTTTTAATCACTGGAATGTTTTTATTCCATTTGTGTACTACAGAGCTGTTAAAATTATATGGAAGTTATTAGGAAGTTATTTTAGGAAGTAATGGACTGACAGTTTCACAGCCCTCACTGTTCTGTCCCCCTGCATGTAAGGTTCATTAAATACTTGCTGCTGTGCTGTTGCAAATGCTGCAGCCTCACCTGCAGTGCTGTTCATTTCTCCCCAAGGACATGAAGTGGATTGAGGAGAAGCAGGCGTTGTACAGAAGGAATCAGGAGCTGGTAGAAAAGGTATTTAACGTTTCTATTTCCATTATTCCAATAGCATTTGTGTCCCGAGGGATGCAGAAGGGGCAGTGTCCCAATCTGCGTGGCGCTGCCCTGCTGGCAATAACTCATGTTTAGAGGAGATCCTCATAAAGCTGCTGGAGAGGTGGGGCCCTGGCATTGCCTCTGTGTGTCCTGTGCATGGGGACAGTGGCCCTGGGGGCCAGCCCTGTGTGCCCCTGGCCTGGGGTGGGTCAGCCCTGCCCGGGCTGGGTGTGCCTGGCCCCCTGGCTCAGCCCGGCCCACCTGGCTCAGGTGCCCAGGGCTGGGTGTGCCTGAAGAATATAGAATTTATGGCAGGTTTGCAGGTCCTGGCTCAGGACAGGTGCCCTGGGCTGTCTCAGCCCTGCCCACCTGGCTCAGGTGCCCTGTGCTTTGGCAGATCAGGCAGATGGAGGCAGAGGAGGCACGGCTCAAGCACGACGTGCAGGACGCCAAGGACCAGAACGAGCTGCTGGAGTTCAGGATCCTGGAGCTGGAGGTGAGCCCCATCCTGCGGGTGTGGGGCACTGCAGAGGGGCACTCTGAGCAGGGTCTGGTCAAAGAGGAGAACCACAAACACCGCCAGCACCAGCGGTGTGGGTGGCGGGTTGTTGTGGCTGGGATGAGCTTCAGGGGCCCTCCCAAGCCAGCCCATTCATGGAGCTGTGGCACAGCCAGGGCTAACCCAGGATTCCCGTCCTTTCAGGAGAGGGAGCGGCGGTCCCCGGCCATCACCTTCCACCACGGCCCCTTCACGGAGGGGAAGAGCCCCCTGCAGGTGTACTGCGAGGCTGAAGGTGTAACAGTAAGGGATGCTCCTTTCCTGTCCCCTCCTGAGCCAAGCCAGGTGCCCCGTGCTGACTCCTGCCTCTCCGTCTCTCTCTTGCCAGGACATTGTAGTGGCAGAGCTGATGAAAAAGTTGGACATTTTAGGGGATAACGCCGTAAGTGTATGTTCCTTTAATAAATTGTGCATGCTTTGGGGATCACCTGTCCTCGTGTGGAGTGAGCAGAGCTGCCTGCTTTGGTGCTGCACAGCCTGTCCTGCCTCTGGTCTGGGCTGCAAGCAAAGCATTTGCTGCCATTCCAAGGTTTTGATGCCACTGAGGAGTGAAGTTTGCAGGGCTCCTGTCACCACACTGCTTCACCACACTGCTCCCAGATCCCTGTTACTCAGAGTTGTATTGGTGTTTGGGGCTTTCTGATCTCTGGTCACACACGGTTTCTTGATTTGCTTGCTCTGCATTTGCTCTGCTTTTGCATTTCAGCAGCTGAGTGCTTTGAGTTTGCCCAACAACCCATTAGTCCTTGATACTAACCAGGGTATTAAACAAGTTAAAACAGCAGCGTGACAAGGAGAAGCAAATAACCAGAAAGGTGTGAGTGCTTCTCCTTCAGCCAGTGAATGCCTTCAGCAGTGTGGTAGTGAATGACTGCACAGTTATGCACATGGAAGGCACACACATGGTCCTGAGGGTCTCTGCCGGTGCTCTCCCCTGTCAGCAGAGCCTCAGGGCTGGAGGGGCCAAGGAGAGCTGAGCCCCCCTCCAGTCTGGGGTCTCACAGAGCCCTCAGCACCTCCAGGGCCCTCCTGGGACCCCCACGCCAGCACTGGGGCTGCAGGAGGGTCCTGCTGTTCCCACAGCTCTGCACCTGGGCTGCCCCAACTCTCCCTGTGACCAGGCTGGCACCAGGGCTGTCCCAGCTCTCCCTCTGGGCACCAGGGCTGCCCCAGCTCTCCCTGTGACCAGGCTGGCACCAGGGCTGCCCCAGCTCTCCCTGTGACCAGGCTGGCACCAGGGCTGTCCCAGCTCTCCCTGTGACCAGGCTGGCACCAGGGCTGTCCCAGCTCTCCCTGTGACCAGGCTGGCACCAGGGCTGCCCCAGCTCTCCCTCTGGGCACCAGAGCTGCCCCAACTCTCCTCTGGACAGGCTGGATAGCAGCAAAGTGCCATCCCCAGGACCATGGCACAGCCTGGAAGTACCAGAACTATAAATACCTGAGGGTGGGCAGCCCTGGCACAGGTGCCCAGAGCAGCTGTGGATCCCTGGCAGTGCCCAAGGCCAGGCTGGACATTGGGAGCACCTGGGACAGTGGGAGGTGTCCCTGCCATGGCAGGGGTGGGAATGGGGGGGATTTGAGGTCCCTTCCCACCCAGAGCATGCCAGGATTCCCTGGTTCAATCCCTGCAGGGCAGCACTGCCCTGTCCCAGAGTGCCTGAGGCTGAAGCTCTCCACAGTCCCCCTTGCTGTGCAGGGGCTCAGCAGCTGCCCTGGCTCTGGCTCAGGGTCCCACACAGCCAGACCCTTCTCCTGCTGTCCCTGTGGGCACACTGAAGCTTGGGATGGAATGCAAAGCACAGTTCCAGTACTTTGATATTTTGGAGAAAGCAACAGAAGATGGATGGAACGGCCAACATCTCTACAAATGCTTCCCAAAATCATCACCTGGCTGCACAAAGTGGGGATGGTGCATGGGATGAGCACTGCATCTCTTCTCCCCATGGCTCTTCATGCTGAGCTTGATCTTGTCCTGTGTAAATGTGTGTTTATTCCCTGTTGGGTACACATAGATACAGTGTCCCTGCTTTTATTGGTAAATATGAGAATTTTGGAAGAATTATGTATGACAAGGGTTGGTAATGAATAGTGACAATGCCTTTTACAATGACTTTGCATTACAATATTAATTTTCTCTGCCTCAGTTTATTGTTCCTCAGACATATTTAATTCCAGAAACAGCAGTGGCCCAAGCAGTGGGTTAGTACAAGAACTGGGATCTGTTGTAATTGTGCTCTGCTTTTGGTGCAGAATCTGACCAACGAGGAGCAGGTGGTCATCATCCAGGCCAGGACTGTCCTCACGCTGGCTGAGAAGGTGAGAGCACAGGTGGGAAGGTGAGGAGGCTGGGAAGGTGAGGAGCAGAGGTGGAAGGTGAGGAGCACAGGTGGGCAGGTGAGGAGCAGAGGATGGGCAGGTGAGGAGCAGAGGATGGGCAGGTGAGGAGCACAGGTGGGAAGGTGAGGAGCAGAGGATGGGCAGGTGAGGAGCACAGAAGGGCAGGTGAGGAGCAGAGGTGGGATGGTGAGGAGCAGAGGATGGGCAGGTGAGGAGCAGAGGATGGGCAGGTGAGGAGCACGGGCTGGGAAGGTGAGCAGCCTTTGAAACGCAGCCTTTCAGAGAAGAGCAGTGCAGGGTTGGCTGTGCTCTGCCGTTTGAGTGGTGCCTGCCTGCTGGCACGAGCCCGGCCCAGGGCCCTGCTCAGGCTCTGTCTGTCCCACAGTGGCTCCAGCAGATCGAGGTGACCGAGTCTGCGCTGCAGCAGAAGATGCTGGACCTGGAGAACGAGAAGGTACCGGGGAGGGGCAGCAGGGCTGGGGCTGGGCCCAGGGGGTCACTGACAGCCCTGCCTTGCTCCCCAGGAGCTGTTCAGCAAGCAGAAGGGGTACCTGGACGATGAGCTGGACTTCAGGAAGCAGTCCCTGGACCAGGCTCACAAGGTGAGGGCTGCCACAGGGGCTGGCTTGGGACACCTGGGTGAGCTCAGTGACCGTGGCTCTGCCCTGGGCAGTGCTGCTGTGGGGTGCCCCAGGGGCTGCATGGGTCAGAATTCAGCAAATCCTCTGCACCCTGAGCTGACCAGGACTGCCTTGTGAGCACCACTCCTGGGTCTGAGTGGCCCCCAAAGGGTTAGCCCCTGAACATTGACTTGCTCAACACCAGGTTTAATTCAAAGCTTCAGTAAAGGTCTGATAAGGAAATTATTTTTCAATAATTTCCCTTATAGTTTTAAAAAAGATATTTTAGCCTGCACATTCCCTTGGATTTTGGATTGCACCCCTGTAACCAGAGCAGCTGGAGGTATTCTGGGACATGTAAATCTGAAATGGAACTGCTTTTAATCAGGTTCATCATTAGCTGATCCTAAGGCATTTCACCCGTCTTTTCAGTCGTCAGCTGTCTTGTTTCCATCAATGAGAGAAAGGTTATATATATATATATATATATATATATATATATATATATCCACAAAAAGCATAAAGTTTCCTGTCAGTTTATCTCATTTTCCCAGTTCTACACAACCCTAGAGCACAGTTACACTTTCTGAGGAGCAGTGAGTGTTTATGCCTCTGTTTCTGCCTCCTCTTGCCTACTTGTGTCTTGGACCATTTGGGGGAGCCTTTGCTCCATACATTTTCTGTCCTGTGGGTGATCTTTAGGACTGATTTTGCCACATTCTGAGCTGGAGCCAAGGCACAATGCAAACCTTGGAAAGCACACAAGCCCCTCGGCTGTGGCTCCAGCCCTATAACCCCCTGCAGTGGAATTTCCCTGCCCATGGGATGGAACAAGGCGGCTTTTGGGACTCTGTGGTTCCATCACCTCCTGTCCTGAGCACAGTTTGTGCAGCTTAGAGCTGATTCTGCTGATGGAAGCACTGAGTGCAGGAGTGTCAGCCCCTGCAGAGGGGCTGAGGGTTATTTGCATTCCCCTCTATTTCCTGAAGGCAGCACACGCGTGTCCCAGGCACTGCTTTGTTCCAGGGCACAAATGCAGCCTGAAAGCAGCAAGGGAAGCTTTGTGCTGCCCTGGAATTTGAGTGGAAAAAGCTCTCCTGCTTTATAAAATTCGCTTCACTTCCGTGTTTCCTTTGTGCCCTGGAGATGAGGAGCAGCTAATCACGATGGCCCTGAAGCAGAGCCAACAGGATTAGCAGAAAGCCCCTGAGCCTGGCTGCTGCAGGGTCCTGCTCCAGGCAGCACTTGGCTGACCCTGCTGCTGCTCTGGGGGCCAGGAGGGTTCCCTGCCCTTCTCCTGCCCAGGCCAGGTCTCCAGACAGGGCTGGGGTTGTGTCCATGAGGCTGGGGCACAGCTGAAATACAGGTATCAAACAGCAGCATTTTGCTGGGACAAGGTTGTGTCCTCTGCTGGGCAGCAGGAGAGCTGGGAAAGGGCAACCAAGGGATGGCAAAATACATGTAAAAATATCTGTAGCTCACAAAATGAGTCTTTATGAACCTCTTTGCTGTTTCCCTTCTCCCTTTTCCCTCTCCCTTCTCCCCTTCCCCCTTCCTTTTACCTTTTCTCCTTCTCCTCCTCTCCCCACGGTGCCATCCCCAGGAAGGAGCAGCTGGCTCCCCACATCTGTGGGGCAGAGCAGACTGGGCCCAGGGGCTGTGCCAGCCCCAGGGCTGCTCAGAGCCCCTCAGGATGGGCTGTTCTTCCTGTGGACAGAGTTTTCAGTGCTGCCCTGTGGAGGCTCAGCACGCAGCCCCCGCTCCACTCCCGTTGCCTTTCAGGGTCGGACGCTCCGCTCCCCACAACCTCCTCACCCCGGCGGGGACAAGGTCGAGCTGACAGCTTTATATTGTTTTTGATTAGCAAATTCTGGAATTAGAAGCCATGCTCTATGATGCCCTGCAGCAAGAAGCTGGAGCCAAAATTTCCGAACTTCTTTCAGAAGAGGAGAAGGAGAAGCTGAAGAGCGCCGTGGAGCAGTGGAAGCGGCAGGTGATGAGCGAGCTCCGCGAGAGGGACGCCCAGATCCTGCGCGAGAGGATGGAGCTCATCCAGCACGCCCAGCAGGTGGGTCTGGGGCTGGCAGCTCGGGAGGGACAGAGCTGGGAGCTGTCCGAGCTGGGGCAGGCTTTGCTCGGCCCTGGATACCCCTGCAGACAGGGCAGCGTGCTGTTCCTGCCTCTGTCACACACGGTGACAATCACAGAGCACTCACCTGCAGCCTAATACCTGTCACTATAGGACACGACAAAACACAAGTGCACACCACTGTTCTCACTGTGAAGGAAAAAGGGAAGTTTATTTTTTTACTCCAACATTTATAGTTTTCCAAAAGCAGTGGATTGGAGGGTGACGGTGCCACCTCTCCAATGACACTGGACAAGCCAACAGTCCATCAAATTTCTCCTCCTCCATAAAAGAATGCAAAACAATGAGTTATTAACAGAAAGTGTGTGAGGAAGTTTACTACAAGAATGCCAACATCAGAAGGCTTAGATAATCTTAAAAAAACAGGGTGACATAATACCCAATCTGGCTTTGGGAGAAGCACAGCACATACAATCTATGTCCCCCAAACTAATGCATCTTCTGGGTACATCTGTATTTGGTTGGTTAATAAATATTTTTTTATTTGAAATCTGACAGAGAATTAAAGAGCTAGAAGAAAGAATTGAAGGCCAAAAAAGACAAATAAAAGAGTTAGAGGAAAAGGTAAGGTCATGCAGACGGAACAGCTGCTGTGTGTGCACATGACCATTCTCCATTTCACCTGGGCCAAGGAAACCACCCCAGAGAGAGCTCGTGTGTGTAGCGCAGTGAGAAAGGGGCACAGCTGCAGGAAAACAGCTTGCATTTGCACCAGCCCCTCCGAGGAGGGCAGGTGAACTGGTTGAACTGAGGCCTTGCTCCGTCACCCTTCGGGGCAGCCTGACGCTGGGCAGGGAAGGGTCAGAGCCAAGGGCTCAGCAGCAGGAGCACAGGTGGGATGGTGAAGAGCTCTGGGGAAGGGGCTGCTGCTCCCTGCTTCCCTTCCATCCATGGCAGCCCCGGGAAGGCAGTGCATGGAGCAGCCTTTCCCTGCAGGAACGGGGGCTTTGCTCTCCTCCCTGCCTGCAGCCACAGTCTGTGTCACAGAGCGTTCTGCAGCCGGCCCAGACTGGTGTGTTTGAGCCCAGAATGGCCTCAGCTGAGCCCTGCCCTGCCCGTGGGTGCTCAGTGCAGCAGGGCTGAGCTGGGCCAGCCCAGAGCTCAGCAGGGCCGGGCTCGGGGTGTTTCAGGGGTCACAGCTCAGCTGCTGTTCCCCATTTCCCCCGAGCCCATGGCTGGGGCTGGCTGGGCCCACAGGGGTCACTGTCACCAGCCCAGGGGACGCGGGAGCTCTCCTGAGCCAAGGTGAGCCCCGAGCACTCTGACTTCACCTCACACTCCATATTCCTCCTCACCTGAGAGTTTTGTTGTGCTCTGTCTGTAAACACAGCTTATTTCTCAGCTAAACACACTGTAAACTCTTAATCTCTTTCTTCTCTTCCATTTTTTCCTCTCTTCTCTCCCCTTTTCAGTTTTTATTTTTGTTTTTATTTTTCTCTTTAGCTTTCATTCTTTGGTCATAGTCCTTCAGGCCACATGCACAAGGTAAGCCCTCGGGTCTGCTCTGCTCTCTGCTCTTCTCCTCCTAGAGCATCTCTATTTTCCTGTAGAGAAAAGAGCTTCCTTTTGCTGTGTCAGCAGGATTGAAGGGTCTCTTGGGTATGCCAGAGAACCCAAAAATGAAAATCTCCAAATCCTTTAAAAAAAAAATGTGAAGCCTGGACTCCAGCAGGCAAAAACTTGTCAAACAGAATTTCCTTCTTTAGAGGGAAGGACAAGGAAAAATTAAGCAGGCTTAAAAGCAAGGAAAGCTCTGTCAAGCCAGGGCAAACCCCCAGTCTGGGGTGACTCCTCTGAGTGCATCAGGGGCAGCTCCACTGATCTGTGCTGGAAGCCCATAGGAACCCACAGCCCCTCTCCTGTCCTGCCTCCAGGGCAGCAGCCAGGTGGGTTTGGGGCAGCATGGCATTTACTGGGGTGTGTTCCTCCAGGCATTGTGCCATGGGCCCCAGGGACCCCCTGAATCCCCTTTTCCCGTGTAAATGGGGGATAAATTGCCTTATTTCTGTGTGTGCTGCCAGAAATGACCAGAGCACGGATGGCATGGAGGGAAACGCTCCCCACTAACAACAGAAATGGAACAGATCACAAATCCTTTGTTATCAGTTGTACAGTTCAGCAGATAATTGTAAACAGTGAGTGTTATAATTATAAACTGTGAATGTTGTTTTTGCCCAGTGGGCTTTCCTTTGATTGCTGTTCTCCTGTCCCGTTTCAGCCCCTGAGGCCGCTGCTCCTGCTGTTCCTGCCCGAGGGACAGCCCTGCTTCCCCAGACCCACACAGAGACTTTGCCCCTGCACCCTCGGATCTGTCTCGTTGTGTGCTGCTGGCCAGGGCAGCTGCAGCCTGTGGGACTTGCACGGGGCTGAGCTGGGCTGGGGGGACTCCCTGCACCCCCAAAACCCCCGAGAGCCTTTGGAGAGGACAGGACTGAGCCCGCCAAGGAAGCCAAGGACTCCGAGAACTGTGCTGCTGCCTCAGAACTGAGCCCACCGAGGAAACCAAGAGCTCTGCTGCTGCCTCTGCTGCAGCCCAGGCTCTCTGCAGGGCCAGCCCCTGACAGCAGCACCATCTCTGATTCAGATACACTGGATTTATCCCGGTTCCCTGCTAAGCAGGTGGCAAATTGCTTCTGTGCAGAAGTGCCCCTGTCCTGTCTGTGTGCCACACGCTCGTGTTTGTTCCACAGTTCTTCAAAAATCTGTCTTGGAAGAAGGTTTGAGGAAGCGTTCCAGAGGAGTAGCTCATGAAAAGATGGAAGTGAGTGAAAATGAAGTGGTTTGTTCCAAGGAATTTCTCCATTGCACAGGGTATGTCCCATGCTTTGTTGAACGTCCCACAAGCCCAGTTTTAGGGAAAATGTAAAGCTACATTCAGGAAACCAAGCTCTAATTATTTTTTGAGTTGTCAGTAAACCATGAAGAGAAAAATTATGCAATAATTTGTATTTGGCTGTCCTTGTACAATGACAAAAGGCTTAACGCTGTCCCAGCAAAAAGTTCAGCCTGGAAAAGAATGAACTAGACCAGATTATCCCTGATCCACATTCACTGGGCTGGGAGAGGGAACAAAAGATGTTCTCACCTGGTAGATGTCCTCACCTGGAAGGTGTCCTCACCTCAGCGAAAGGGAGCACAAGTCCCACAGAGCCCGAGCCTGGGAGGCTGGCACAGGAACCAGGAAGGAAAAAGAATCCTCTAGAAAAACAGGAGAAGAGGGGAAAACCCAGAAGAAATTCCACAGTGTGATTGACCACGTTGGATCCACAGCCGAGCACAGAAATGCAGGGCTGTGGGGCAAGGCCAGGGATGAGGAACAAGGCCAGGACCAAGGCCAGGGATGAGGCCCAAGGCCAGAGATGAAGGTCAAAGCCAGGACCAAGGCCTGGGATGGGGACCAAGGCCAGGGATGAAGGTCAAAGCCAGGACCAAGGCCAGGGATGATGAACACAGCCAGGACCAAGGCCAGGGATGGAGGACGAAGCCAATAACAAGGCCAGGGATGAAGGATGAAGACAGGAACAAGGCCAGGGATGAGGACCAAAGCCAGGGATGAGGAACAAAGCCAGTACCAAGGCCAGGGATGAAGGTCAAAGCCAGGACCAAGGCCAGGAGCGAGGTGCTGCCACCAGCCAGGGTCCCATGTGCCCATTCCCTGGGAGCACGGGCAGGAAGGGATCAGAGCTCTGGACAGGTAAGATGGGCTGAGCAGCTGGAAACCCCTTTGTCCTGGGATTCTGGGGAACTCCCTCCCCTGCTGGTCTCTCTCACTTGGGTTAATAATTACAGGTGTTATTAATCTGTTATTATTATTCTCTTAAGGTGATAACAGAGGAAATAATGAATTTGGCATTGAAATTACCAGAGTCTTTATGTAAACATTATTTAATTATTGCTAATAATTTAGGTGTTAAATTTCAGTGTGATATAATGACAAATTCTGGGTTTATGTTTTAGATCAGTGGTCACTCTTAACACAAAGTTATTGGGAGATAATTAAAGGCACTGTCGGATTTGTATGGACAGCAAGCAGTCACGCTGCTTTTAAAAATACATGTTTTAAATGCAGGAGATGAAAATATTTTTCATTTTGCATAGAAATGACAAATACTAATCAGAAAGTATTTTAATTCACAATTTCCCTCACTTTTTTTGAAATTTGTGCTGATAAGGCGGATAAACATGACGGGTAGAGCAGCAGAGAGAGCTGCAGCTGCACAGGCTTTACAGAAGTGTTATTAACGTGCCAGATTTCTGTATTAATTATTGAATTGTAATTGCAGTGTGAAATGAAGCTCTCCTGGGTCAGAGTGGGCAGTGCCCAGGTGGGGTGGTGGGCGCCCGGGGGTGCCCCTCAGCAGACACCCCATCAGTGGGCCCCAGTGCAGGGGGTGCAGCCAGGGGAATCTGGGAGCTGTGTGTCCTGGAGGAGAGGATTCTGCTCTGCAGGCCATTTGATTGTCCCAGGCAGTTTACGATGGTGTTTCAGTTATTTTTAGTGTCTCTTTAACTTTGGAGACTGGAGGCTCACAGGGCTGGGTAGCACTTGCCTGTGTACAAATAAATAAGCTGTCACTTACCTAAGAGAAATTTTTATTAGATATTAACTCTTACATTTTTAGAAAAGGCTTGAGCATCCATATTTTTTGCCCTGATTATCTTAATTTAATTAAAACCCCCAGCCTTTATTATAGCTCCATTTGATATTTGTTCATTCAAAGGAAGCAACGTGTGGAATGTGCTGGAACAAATAGCATTAAAATATTGTTTTCAATTTTCCAGTGATGGAAGGATGGGGAAAGCACCATGGCAGAGGGCTGGAGCTCCATGGTCTCTGCAGTCCCCTCCTACCCAACCCAGTCTGTGTTCATGTTTCTAAAAGCAGCTTGCTGTGTTTAACTGGTCTGTGGAGCTGGGCATCATGGGGAGATGCCAGCCATGGGCACCAGCAGCAATCCAGCTTTAGGTTCATGGTGGACCCACCTGTTTTCAGATGCTCCTCTAACCCTTGCACTTCTTACAACAATATAAATTCTCTTTAGAAATGGCCCTCAATATTTTTAATTAAGAACACATAACGTATTTCCTACTGTAGGCAGCAATCAGAAATACCAGTTTCAGGAGTTCAAATCTTGATGCTTTTATTTAACCAGGAAATTAGTTTCAGGAGTTCAGAGCTTGATGATTTTATTTAACCATGGATGGGGACATTTCCCCAGGGGGAGCCTCCTTCCCCCCCAGAGCAGGATCTGCCCCTGTGAGCCTCTCAGTTCTGTAGATAATTCCTTCTCTTTAGATGGCTTTGCACACTGACCAGTTGAACAGCAGCAGGTTGTTCTGTGTTCCTGGTGTGCCCGCTGTCAGCAGAGGGTGGGTTTGGGGTTTTGGGGTTTTCCCTCCCTTTCAGAAGGGATCCCAGGCAGGTGAGGAGCTGCTGGGGCTGGCAGCCCCGTGTGAGTGCTCAGGCTCTCTGGAATGACTCCTTCAGGGGCACTAATGAGCTCCAGCCTCTGCACGCTAATTGGCCACTCTGCTGTGCAGGGTGACCCCAGACATCCTGGTTTGAAGTGAAGTGTGGGGAAATTCAGGCCGGCAAGGAGACTCCCATTGAGCAAAGGCATTGACTCAGAAGCTTTTATTCCTTTTGCAAACCTTGCGGGTTTCTCTCTCTCAGAGACAGGATTGGCTCGGCGATGGAGGCGATTTCCAGTGGGTTAATAACTGTCAATTTGTGTCAGAGCAGGGGGTGTCTCTGGCAGGGGTTTCTGCTCCGCTGTCTCGGGGCTGCTGCGCGCTGAAGAGCACAGAGATGACAACGTCAGCCTGAATTTGTGGCTGAGGCGGGGATGGAGGCCCTGGGGCGGGAGCTGGGGCTGAGGGGGGCTGCAGCCAGGTCTGGGCAGGGCTGGTTGAGATGTGTGCTCACCCCACACATCTCTGCTGTGCAGGGCTGCCTCTCCACGGCTCTGCCAAATCCCAGGGGAAACACCTCCACACAGGCCAGCCGGGGGTTTCCTTCTGAGCAAAACACCTGGTTTGTTACACAGGAACTTTGTGTTGTGCTTGTGTGACATGGGACCAGCCTTTCATTTATCCTCTCTACAGCCAAAGCCTCCCGCTCCTGTGTTGCTGTAGGGGATCACACACAGCACAGAATCCCGGAATGGTCTGGGTTGGGAGGCACTTGCAAGGTCCTCCCTGCCCATCCCTACCCCAGGCTGCTCCAAGCCCCATCCAGCCTTCCCTTCAGTCATTTGCGGGGGTGTTCCTCTTGCTGTGGGAAGTGGAGGACTTTTTTGGAGTGTGAATTTGTGCAGCAGCAGCAATTTGGTATCCTGTGTGCTTCCCCCTCAAAACCCCAGCACCTTCCACCCTCAGCTTGCTCTCAGAAGGAAAACTCCACCTAATTCTGTACAGAGCTGGGACTGGCAGCCTGCTCCACCAAGCTGGTTTTAAAGATAATCATTCATTTCACCTTTCATTCCCCAAAGCACTCCTGGGCAGAGCAGCTTCAGTTCTCATCACAGCTGAAGGGTTCTCCCCCTCAATCTGGGTCTTGCTGAGCTCTTGCAAATAATGAGAACATGTATTTTTGTAGTTTACCAAACTCAGCATTAGCCGGGAGAATTATTCAGCTGGAAAATCCATCATCAAGCTAGCTTTCTTAAAGAATGCACTCTGTTTGTAAATTGCGTTTGTGTAAATAGCCCTGCCATGGAGGGGTGGGGTGCCTATGATAGGTCTGCAGTTGCAGGGCAACAGAAACCCCAGAGAAATCTCTCCGGGAAAGGAGGACGTGTCCCAGTCACTGAGGCTGCTCTGGCCTCATGCAGACGGGCAGGGGCAGCCAGGATGCTGCTCTGTCAATGCTTTTCTGAGGAGAATAGCCCGGGGGGCACTCTGCTCCTCGCTATAAACAGGGATGCTGCAGTCACCCCCGGGACACGGCGGATTGGTGCGTGCAGTGCCGGGGCTGTCACGGCTGTCACAGAGGGCCTGGAAGGGATTGAGAAACTCTCACATCGGCACTTAAAGCACATTTGTCCCTTTGTTAAATCCGGGAGGATTCTGAGCGCCGTGAGTTGATGATGTGCCTGGGAGGGCTCCAGCAGCTGGGCTCCCCAAAGTGGGGAGGAGTGCAGGCACGGGCAGGGTGTGCAGCAGCAGCAGGGAGCCCGTCTGTCACACACAGCCCCCGGTTCCTGCCGTGCCATCAGGGCTGGCGTCCCCCCGTGTCCCCCAGTGTCCCTGGGGTCAGCCTGCATTTCCTGCCTCAGCTCCACCTGCTCAGCCTGACCGGGCACCGTGCTGCTCGGCGGATCCCACTGAACTGTGCCTGAACTGATCCCACTGAACTGTCCCTGA